ACACTTAACCCTTGAGGAATTGTCCACAGAACCATAAAAAGCTCATACACACCCGGAAACAATGGTAAACTGGACATTGAATTCTCAGCCCCTTTCAAAACTGTAAGTTTCTTTAAAATGCTGAAAGTCGGAATACGTGTATCTTAATTAAATGTCTATTTCCGATATGACCAAATTAAGTGGGTGGAGAGCTTTAATAACTTTCTAAATCGTCTTAGTTCAAGAACAACCCGTTTTGGTTTCGTGCTGAGGACATTTGCACAAAAGTAATACATGTAACACCAACTAAGTTATCGGCGAGACCAAACAGTGGTTTTTCTTTTTCAAAATAATAGACAATAACATGTTTTGTTTTGAAAACTCTGTCACAAGCTTAATCTCATTGTGCACTTGCCAGGTACGTGTAACAAAAGATTCTGTTCTGCCAAATAGGTAAAAAAAAAAAAGAAAGAAAACATGCCCACATCAGCAACTAATTAAGTTTGCGTGTATCTCGTGCATTTGGAGATACAGGGTCTTCAGTTAAGTTTTAGGCATGACGTCTTTTCCCTCTTAATGGTCGAGTGTTGAGGACAGATGCAGTTAGTCCTAATGTTCATGATTCAACCACTTTGTTTGAAAGGTTATATTTATATACTTGTGTTTTTGTTGTACAACTTGTTTTTGTTTATGTTTTGGGAGGGGTAAAAAGGGGGAGGGTGAATATTCAGCAACCATTATATGTATGTTATATAAAAATTGATATTACATCAAATGTTATACAGTCTGCATCTGTTCAATACTTATCAAATTTCGTTCCGTTCGTAGAGGAAAAATGTACAAAGAAGAATACATAGTACATACATACATGTACATGTATATTAGAGATTCACAGTCCTAATACACCCAGAATCGAGGACTTGGACCAGAGACCATTGGCTTGGACGACATCTTAATTTACTCTGACTCGTTGAAACAGCCCCTTACTACAGCTTGATCATCTAGCCTTGCCGTTGTTTTATTGCTCTTAGATGTTGCAAGACTTCAAAGCCGCGGAGGTCGGCTTTACAGAATTCATAGAATAGCTACAAACAAATAGCACGAGCAAAATAGATATATCTTCCCTATGGCGATCAGATCACAGATTTATCTATACCCTCAACGTAACACACATTTGTGCAGACATGTTCTTGCATCACATTCAAACGGCTATCAAAAGAAGGCGGCGTGGAGAACATCGCAAAAAGTCTATTATTTCCTTGTATTTAAGTAACACATCGAGTCCTTTTTCTTAACTGAGGTACGGAGGCAAACAAAACCACTGCTGGGGCCATTAACATGATCCGAAGACCTTCGTACGTCTTTCAGCGTCCTCGCCGCAGGTCGATCCTATCTTCCCTGCCCGTGGCTGCCCGGTTTTCGGGTGGCTGGACAGACAGAGGAGACCGAGAGCTACAGATGTGATGTACAAATCCTGCCTCATAAAACTACAATAAGACTGCTGTGCAGGGTGTTTTGTATCTCTCTGTTCATCTCACCACAAAGGTGGCAACGCCGTCGCCTCGCGACAAACTAAGCAGGAATAAGACGGAGCATTCAAAGAGTATTTGTGTACGGATTGGGAGGGGGAGGGGGAGGGTTTGAGAAAAGGGTAGTGAAGACGGCGTTACTCATTGGTAGCCCTTTTTTTTCTGAAATTTAGAACGAGCGATGCCATTTATTATGGACACGCTACACACTTTAGTCATCCAGACTATATTTATGATACAAATGTAGAGAGTTTTGAAATGCTGGCCAAGTTTCTGGAAATGTTGCGGAGAGTCACATTCTGTGTAAATGTTTGGCTATTGTGTGCTCTGTTTCCGAAGCTTTTGATTTTGAGAGATTTCTCCGGCAATTCTGAGGTTGTTGTGTAAACTGGCTAGGCATACACGTTTGGCTATAACTGCGTACCCAGTTTCTCCCACCAAGACGACATAGGTCTACATAATATAAAAAGGCAAAGGGGTTGAAAAAGTTCGATTATTCAGGTGATTGTCCTGGACATGTGGCTGTCCGAGCAGCTTTGACAGTAAATATCCCAGACCTTGTACTCTGGCATAATTCCAATTCACTATGTAGCGTACCATATTATGACTTAATTTGGAACCAAATGATAGTGTGGGTGAGTTTGGGGGGGGGGGTGTCGCGCCCACTCGACATTAGTCAAACTGATGTTTTGCCCTTCATTTGAGAACCTATAGCGCGCACGCGTCTCAGCGAAGTTTTTAATATTATTCTAAAGAGCAAAAAAGCGGTAGCCATGCTAGTGTAGACAGGGTCTAGGAATATAGATCTACAGGCAACAGAGGCATGAAAGGATATGGGACAAGACCTTAGTTCTGGTCAGTCCACAAGGCACAGACCAACGTGACAAAACGTCAAAAGTAATAGAAACAGAAAGGAATAATTCGTAACGGGTTGAACGAAAATGATGGATTGATGTTGGGGGATGAAAGAAGAGGAGGAGTTATAGAAAGATAGTACATGAGTATAAGGATTGGTCGATCAGTGAATGAACCTATCAATGGATGGATGGATGGATGGATGGATGGATGGATGGATGGATGGATGGATGGATG